CCGGAGCGCTGCCTCCCGGCTTGCCTTCCTCCCAAGCTTTTATTTCGCTTTTCCTCCTCGTTTCGCGTCGCCAAGAAACTTCCAAGGGAGGGAGATGGGGGAAGAAGATGGGGAGAAGAGGGAAAGCAACAAAAATGCGGCGCATCACTCAGCCCAGCCCGTTCCGTCCGCTCCGCAGGGCTCCGGCATTACCTGTTTATTCCCTGTTGCGGAAAATAAATAAAATATATCACGAAAAGCCGGCGAAGGAATGTAAAATCAACTGGTGGGCACCCTCCGGTGCACAGGGACACGCACAACTTTCCCTCCTTTGCTCCTCAGATTATCGGATGGGATTTTTTTTTCCTTTCGGGTGTTTTGGTGGTTTTTCCTTTCTTTGGCGAGTGCGGGGGATTCGCGCTGCATTCGGTGCTGCTGCGGGGGTGTTCGCACGTACAGCCACACTGCGGGGTTTTTCAGATTGCACAAATATTCTGTTCTTCCCTCCCGAGAAAATCAGCCCCGCTGCAGGACTGGGAAATCACTCCAGACATCACTGCCCGTGGGTCCTGCTCTCGGGGAGGGGGTCAGAAAAATTCCCTGGGGTGGGAGGGATGGGGATAAATCCGCATTTCTGCAGCCGGGGTTTCTCGGGATGCTCCGAGCGCCCGCAGATCTCGGAGCTTCCCCTACCCAGGTCTGCTCAAGGTGAATTCTGCAGGGTTTCATCCCCCCTCTTGCAGCCCTGCTCAGGGAATGTGTAAAGCATCTTTGATGGGGATTTTTGGAGCCCCAGCTCCCGTTGTTTCCCTGCAGGCACGGTTGGTGCAATTGAGGATTTAAAGGGATGCTTTTGGAGCATCCTCCGAGCTGGGGGTTGGTGCAGGGCACACACATTCAACAGGTCTGGAGGAGAGCAGAGGGAAGGGACATCCCTCAAAACATCCCAGTTTTGAGGCAGCAACCAGTCCTGGACTTTGTCTTTTCCACAAATTCCTTTTGGAATTAACCCCAAACGCTACTATGTCCATCCCCACACCAGGGCTGCCAAATTGACATCACCCCTTGTGCTCAATCAGCCTGGAAACTTCAAACCTCGGCTCAGAAATGTCCAGAGCTGTCTCCACTTGCCTTTCTCTGGACATTTCTGAGCCAAGGTCTGAAGTTTCCAGGTTGATTTTGTGGGCATCCCTTGCAGGAGCAGGGATGGTGATCTCACACCTGGGGAAGAGCTGGTTTCCCACAGGTGACCCCAGATCTTCTCTGCCCTGCTGCAAGCACCTTTCCACTGGTTCTTGCTAGGGATTCATCACTGAACCTCCCAAACCCCTTTTCCTTCCACTCTCTCCAACCCCTTTCCCTTCCTCTCTCTCCAATCTGTTTCTCTTCCACCAGCCTGTCATGGATTTTGTGCAAGAAGACAAGTGAGGGGTGGAATAAAGATGAAGAAATATTTTGATTCTGGAATACATTTGAGAAGATGGTGAATGCTTGGAAAGAAGAGCAAATATTGCAGACAGTGTTTCTTCAAGACAATCCATGTTCTTGCCATTCACACTCCAAGAGGCCACGGGCATGGGCTCAGCATCTCCTGTTCCAGCAGATTTCCTGGAAAACAAATACAACTACAAATACAAATACATATATACATATACATATACATATAAATACAAATACAAATCAAGCAGCTCCTATTTTCAGACTTTGGGCTGCATGGGATTTCAAAACAGCAAGGAAGCGCTCTCAGAACTTCAAAATATAACCAAACCCCCAACTAGATGCCAGGAGGGCATTGGAGTTTTTGGCCCAAATTTATCCTGATGATTGTGGAAGTGGGTGACATTTTCAGCACAGTGACGTTTCAAATTTTCAGCACTTTTGAAAGGAAGATGCTCTGCAAACACCATATCTGTGTTCTCTGTCCTTTTAATCTGCTCTGAATTAGGTTACACTCAGATTTCTCTGGCTGCAGCCTCTCCTCATCTAAAGCTGGTGGCATCATCCAGTTTAGGGACAGATTCACAGCACTTCAGGTGTTTCTCCATCTCCTTTCCTTTAACATCCAGATGCCTTTGTGCTTTATTTATTCTTTTATTTTTTTTTTTTTCATTCAGGCCTAAGAGGTTTTCCCAGAAGTTTTGGTTCCACTGTCTTCTCTGGAGCTCTTCTTTCCTCTTCACCTTGATTTTCTCTTTTATTTAGAGACTATTTCTGAAGCACTGATGGTTCAATTGGGCCTCTATGGAGAGATGTGGAAGAAAGCCTTCTAAGAGTTTGTGATCTAAATTAGGTTTGTGGATGGTGTCCAAAGAGGTGGTTTGGAAAAAAAAGAAAATAATAGTAATTAAAGCTGAGGAAAATTCCCTTGGAACTTTTCTAAGTGGCTGCTAGAACAAAACTCTCAGATATGAATGAAAAGGTGCAGATTTATATCAGGGCTGAGCTGGAGATGACTCTAACAGCTCCTGTTGGCAGCAAAGACTTTGCATCTTGCTCGTTGCTGAGAATACAAATTGGTTTAGTGGACGTGAACTGCAGTAATTGCTGAGAGATTTCACTCTAACACTGCCTTTGAGAGCATCACTGGGAAAAAAAGAAAGTGCTTTGAGAAATACTGAGTTGTAGCGGTGTAGCATCCCAAGATGTAAAATGGATTTAAGCCCTGCAGAAACCCACCCTGAGATCAGCTCCAGTTTCAGTCTCAGTGACTCTCAGGGATGAATTTTCCACTCATCTAAAGCAATTCCATTAATTTCACTGCTGTCCCTGCTCCTTAATGCTGCTTTTGTTGGCAACCATGACACCTGATCTTGTGTTTTAAGTTGGGAACAGAAGTTTCACATCTGAATTTTGTTGCTGTTTTTAACTAAAGCACTTTTATGCAAGTAGCATAAAAAAGATTTTAAAAGCTAAAGAAAGATTTACCTGAGTACCAAGTATCCAAGCTGTAATGAACATCCACCTGCTGTTGCCTCTGATGATCACTCCCAAAGGATGGAACTGTTCACATCCCAAACTCTCCATAGCTGCACACACAAAAACTCTCCAACCCAGTGAAATTCAGACACTCCCATTACTTTAGGTCAGATATTAGCACCTCCTGATCTGCAGGAGAAGATTACTAAGACACAAAAATTTTCCCATTTTCCAGGCTGCTGCCTTCAGCACATTCATGTTTTTGGAGGATAGATGGAAATGTAAAAAGGTCCCCTACACAAGGAGGCACAAGCACACACACAAACAGAGATGTTATGGCATTTACACTCCTAATTTTTCTCTTTTCTCCTGGCTTGTGAAGATAAATGCTCAGAGGGACACTGTGGGATTTGTAGGTTGTTGTGTATTTGGTTATCCATTTCAGGCCCAATTTAAGCAGGTGCCTGAAGGACTCATAAGCTGAACATGGTGCTGGGATGACATTTGTGTTCACGAATAAATGGCATTAGCCTTTCAGACAGCAGCTGGGGGGATCTGAGACAACTTCAGCAAAGTTGAGGCTCTGGAGCTTCATCTGTGATAAACACTGTGAATGAGATTGCGCAGAAGTTCCTTGGTGGCAGCCAGTTTTCCTTCTAACCCAAAAAATGTGGTTATCTCCACTTTTGGAGGTGTTTTTCTGCTTTTGGGGTGCTGATTCCTGCACTGGAAAAGGGGCAGGGCAGTGCAGTTGGCACTGGAGAATTCTTTGGGGCAGGTTAAGAGTCCAGCCTGAGTGAGCTGAAGGGTGCAGAGTGTCTAAAGGAGTTTGGTGTCAGAGAGGGGACACAGGACATCACTGGGGCCACTCCACACTCAAGTGCAGCTCCTCTGCCATTCTCATCTCCTGGCACTGCTCCTGGGCTCACAGCAAAGCCTCTCTGCATTTTCCCTCTCCTCTCGACAAACTGTGGCCTGCAGCTTCCAAGTTTTCACCCCACCTTATCACAATCTTTACAGGAGGTAAAGACACCATCAGGCCCTTATTTCATGACATCTCCTGGGCCAAGGCTTTCACTTCTACCTTTGTCTTCTTTTTATCCATCAGCCCTAATTCAGAAAGAAGCTGGTCCCTGGGAGGTGGCATTGGGATGCTGAAAGACTTGTTTCACAGTGCCATCTCCTGGAGATCCTATTTAGGCTGAATTTCTCTGATACCTTTTTCTTTTCCACGTATCTGAGCTTTGAAGGCAGGTGTTTAAGGTGTTTAAGGCATGATCTAAAGGAGAGATTAGCCTAAATGAAGTTAATCCGAAATTTAAACGCCCTCTTTATGCTTCACAGTAAAAATCCTGCCTCTTGAATGCTGCGAACAGCAGAGGAATTGCTGGCTTGGGGTTCATGAAATATTCATTGGGTTGTGGTCCCACAGGCTTTGCACCTCTTGGCAGCACCAGCCCTGTGTGCAGGGACTGCAGAGGCAAAAAACATCCCCTGGAGAGGTGAAAGGTGCCTTGGTGAAGCCCTTTTCCTGGAGGAATTCAAGGAACACCAGGGAAAAGGGATCATTGTGATGGTGCTCACAGGAGTCTTTGGATGAGGGAAGAGACGAGGATTTGACTCTATATTTCAGAAGGTTTGATTCATTATTTTATGATATATATTACATTAAAACTATACTAAAA